AGGCCACCTGCCCCTCGACCTGCTCCAGCCCTCTCCTGGCCTTTGTCAACTCCAAGAGTGGGGACAACCAGGGTGTCAAGTTTCTGCGCAAGTTCAAGCAGTTCCTGAACCCGGCCCAAGTCTTCGACCTCATGAATGGGGGCCCGCACCTGGGGTAAGTGATGGCCTGGGTGCCCCAGGGTGGCCCCGGTGGGGTCCCGGCACACCCCCCAGCCCCTCTCTCCTGTCGCCCCCCCCAGGCTGCGCCTCTTCCAGAAGTTCTCCACCTTCCGAATCCTGGTGTGTGGGGGGGACGGCAGCGTGGGCTGGGTGCTCTCTGAGATCGATGCCCTTGGCCTCCACAAGCAAGTGAGCGGGAGTGCCTGGCACCGCTGGCACGGGCTGGCACCATCCCCAGCGCCGGCACCCACCGCAGCTGGGAGCCCCACCATGTGCCCTGGGTGCTGTGAGCGATGCGCATGGCGGGGTTGGGGGTGTCGTGGGTGCCCGGGGGGCTGCTCTGAGGACACCCTGCCCCATCCCTCTCCCGCAGTGCCAGCTGGGCGTCCTGCCCCTGGGGACCGGCAATGACCTGGCACGGGTTCTGGGCTGGGGCAGCCTCTGCGATGATGACACCCAGCTGCTGCAGATCCTGGAGAAGCTGGAAAGGGCCACCACCAAGATGCTGGACCGGTAAGCACGGTGTGGGGCACGTGTCTCTCCGCTCCCCCGCTCTCAGCACCTGTCAGGAAGCCTATCCTTGTCCCTTGCCCATGTGTCCCTGTGCTGGGGTGCTGGGAGGTCTCAGCTAACTGTGGTGTCTACTTGGCAGGTGGAGCGTGCTGACATACGAGGCCCCCAAGCAGTCCCCCCCAGCCCTGAAGGAGGAGGAGAATGGGGACTCCAACATCCAGGTGGGCACCGTTGGGGACTGAGGGCTTGAGATGTCGGGGGGCAGGTTCCTGTTCACCCCGTCAGCCGATGTGGGGACATGCGGGGTGGGATCGCAAAGTGAGAGGTCATGCTAGGGGTCCCTGGGGACTGGGGCTGCGAGGGGGCTGGCAGCCGGCTGCATGCAATGAAATGAGTCTGGCAGGTCTCAGCCCGGCACATTCACTAGGGAGCAGGCAGCAGGGTGAGGTGGAGCTGGACTGCTACCATCAGGCTAGTTTGGACTCTTCCATGTGCTCCCCCTCAACCCCTTGCCTCAGTTTCCCTCCTACTGTGGCTGAGCATCCCCTGTGCCTGGTGGTGTGGGCATGGCCGCCCTCGGGGCTAGGGGAGCGGGCCAAGGAGGGCTGTTCATCCCCAGGCCGGGGCTGACCGGGCAAGGAGCAGGGCACCTGGCAGGGTGTCATGGCTCCAGTCGTCCCCCACCCAGGCCCAGATCTCCCACTACGCTGACTCTGTTGCTTTCCACCTGGCCAAGATCCTGGAGTCGGACAAGCACTCGGTGGTGATCTCATCTGCAAAGTAAGGAGGGGGCTGGTGATGGGGGTGCCAGAGCCCCCGTGCTGGGCAGGGGCATATCCCCAAGGGTGCTGAGACCCCCCCGGGCCAGGCTGTCCCCTGTCGGGCTGGCAGTTCCCCTGTCGGGCTGCTAGCGGCTGCCGGCTAAGCTGGTGCCTGGCAGAGAACTCTGGCACTGCCCCTTCGGTGCAGGGGGGCATTATTCCAGAAGCCCCCCTGGCTGGCATCGGTGCCTGGCTGGTCGTGCCATGCCCCTCTCCACCTGCCCGCTGCTTCCCTTGGCAGGTTCCTCTGTAGCACTGTCAATGACTTCGTGGCTGAAGTCGGCCGGGCTTACAAGAGGGCGACGGAGAACAAGCAAGAGGCTGAGCTGATGGCGCGGAAGGTAGGCTGCAAGGGAACTGGAGGGCTGGCATGTGCTGGGCGGCACAGCCCCCAGGCAGTGGAGGGGCTGGCAGGCTCTGCTGGTGGCCCATGCCCTTGCTGTACATGCATCAGCGTGGGCTGTGCTTGAGGTGCCCAGGCATTTGGGATGTCCTGGCAAGCGTGGAGTGCCTAGGCAAAGATGGAGTGCCCAGGCAAAGATGGAGTGCCCTTGTGCTCGGGATGCCCTGGCACTACAGGTGCTCAGGCAAACACGGAGTGCCCAGGGAAGCACCCAGCACTGGTGGGGGGCAGCAGTTTGTGCCAGGGTGCTGAGCGTGGTGGGCATCCTGCAGTGCGCCATGCTGAACGAGAAGCTGGACTCGCTGGTGCGGGAGCTGAATGAGGAGGCTCAGGCCATCGTGGTCCCCGAGGGAATGGTGCAGGCCCCCCCTGTTGACACCAAGGACCAGGAGAAAGGCGGCAGCTTCAACCCCAGCCCCGTGCCTCGCATCTTCAAATCCAAGGAGCAGCTCATGCTGCGGGCGAACAGCCTGAAGAAAGCCCTGCGGCAAATCATTGAGCAGGTGGAGAGAGGTGAGGGGGTGGTGGGGGCTGGCAGCTCGCGTGGTGCTGCAGCAGCCTGGCACAGGCTGCAGAGCCACTGCAGCTTGGTGCTGGACCCGTGCCTTGGTTTCCCCATCTGAATCCTTGGGGTGGCAGCAATGCTGTGCAATCCAAGGGCATCAGCCCTTCTCTGATGTTTGGCGTGGCTGAGGCAGGTCCCCAAGGCTGGGCAGAGGTGCCACCCTGCGCCCTGCCTGGGATGAGCCCACAAGGCTGATGCTGGGAGAGGGCAGAGGGCCATGGAGCTGCCCAGGACTCGCTGTCATGCCCCTCTTTGCATCCAGCTGTGGATGAGCAGAACAAGCAGACCCAAGCCTACCAGGGCAGTGCGGGCCCCAGCAAGGACAGCTCAGAGGAGCTCAGCAAGGAGGAGGAGAGGCTCAGTAAGATGCCAATGGGGCACATGGCTTTTTGGGAAGGCATGGGTGTGAGCCGTGGGACTGGCTCAGGCTAAAAGCCAGTAGAGCAGCTGCCTTCTCTCCCCCGGCCAGGCTCCCGGCGGGAGACAGTGACCTCCGCATCTTCCTCCATCATCCTGGACCGTCCGGACACCTTTGGCAGCTTGCAGTTCCCCGAAGATCCCAGTGCCCTGTGAGTCTGGGGTCCTGCCCACCCTGGTGCCCCTGGCCCTCCCTTGCTACCTGTCACAGAGCAGGAGCAGAGCTGGGACCAGGCTGCCTCTTGGAGGTGGCCACTGGGGCATCCTCTGCCCACCAGTGTGGCATCCCTGGTGCCCAGCCCTCCCTGGCCCAGCAGTGCCCGTGCTGGCAAAGCTTGCATGTGCCCAGTGTAGGACCTCTTGCTGCCCCTTGACCAGCACCATGCTCGCACTGGGAGCTTGGAGGTCCCCCCTGCCCAGTGCCGGCAGGGCCTGGG